GAGTCCTAGCACCCACAGCCCTGGTTCCAGGTGGCCCAGCCAGGTGTGGAGATACAGAGGAAGAAAGAAAACCCATCTGTCTCCAGGATCCCTCCTTCCTCTCACCTCCTGAAACTTTAAAGACTCTCGGCTGGAAACTGAGCTGGAGCTCATTAAAGTTTAAAAGCCAGAACCTGGGGAGCTGGGTGTGGAGGCACAGAGCCAGCCTGGGGACTAAGGGCTCTTCTGGCCCCAGGGCGACACTGACTGGAGACACCTACCCCCATTCTGCTCACACTCACAAGGTTCCTCATCCCAAGGCAGGCACCAAGGGAGCTGCATATCCATACCGTATTACACCCCAGCCTGCAGAATAGTTTGCACATCGCAAAGGGTTATGCCATACTGCCATGTCCCATCCATTATCCCTCCTAAATCTCTCTGGATGCAATCCCTTGCTCCACTCCCCACAGCCCCTGCTTTAGCACAGGACTCAGCAACTCTGTCCAGACAAATACAGCATCCTCCCCCTCCTCTTCCACTTCCTACTTGCTTTATCGAAAACCCTCCCCTGGCACCCCAGGACCTCCAGGACCCATGTCCTAGGACCTTGGTCCAGCTCTCTAATCACCTCTAACTCCATACTAAACCACCTGATGGTCTCCTAATGTATCACTCTATTTCCCTCCTCTGTGCTTTGCACAGCTGCTCTTCTATATCAAAGGCTCCCAATGCAATCAAACTTGTCCATCCCATTCTCCATCCAATTCCAAAGGGATCACCTGAGCATTCCAGGAAGACTTCCCTGGCCCCAAAGCTGGTTCAGAGGTCCCCTCTGGGTCTCCATAGCTCCTGTGACAAATGTCTGTCCATGCACAAAGGAGCTCCTTGAGAGCAGTGCTTGGGCTTGATCCTCCTCTCTGTCCCTAACCTTCAGGATAGGGCCATGCAGAGAAGCTATCAGGGAACATTCAGTCAATAAGCAAATGAATGAAGTGCCCAAAGACAGGCAGGGCAGCACTACTATCCACACTCAATAGATGAAGAGGCTAAAGCCTAGGTAGTGGCAGCAACCTGCCCAAGGCCATGTGGCTGTGACTCTGGAAAACGTGCTCTCTCCCCCCAGACTCAGCCTAGCCCGGAAAGACTTCCCCTAAAGTTTCCAGCCACCTCTGACCTGAGGCACTTAGAGGGAAAGACTTCAGAGCCTGGGGGGGGGGGGTGCTTTGTGGGAGCAGGTGGATGTGAGATAGGGAAGGGAGGGGCCATGGAGCTTTCTCCAAAGCAGAAGGGGAGGAGCCATAGGAAAGGAAGTCAGAGAAGACAGGTCCCCACTGTCCAGCTTCCTATAGCAAGAGGAACCTCAGGTTCTCAGCCACAAACCTCCAAGAGACCTCCCAACCTTGGTCCAGACACCAAGCCCCTCAAGGACCTTGCTCACTGGGCCCACTCCTGCCTTTGTAATCTGCCTGTGAATATCTGCCCTGAGTAGTAGGCAGAAGTCACTTGGAATTGTCATTCCTCTCTTCACCAGGGTCTGGAAACTTCTGAGGACAGGACCAGCTCTCCTCTGGCTCTCACATGGCTAGCCAAGCACAAGGTTAGGCAGGGTTGCAACACTGGAGAGTCTGAGCACATGAGCATCAAGGGCAGGGCTTGGCAGGCCACGTCACCTCCTGCTTTCTCCCCCTCACTCCTCATTTCTCTCCCATGGGCCCCAGCACAGGAGTTGAGTTCAGAGGCCCTTAGAGCCAGGAAAGTCCCAAGGAAGAAATGGAGAAACAGCCCCGAAAAGGGCAGGGACATGCCAATGGTCATCCACAGAAGAGGATATCACAACCAGGACTGGACCCAAGCTGGCCCTGCTTAAATGACTGGCAGATCCCCTAGCTTTGCATTTCTCATACACTCAGACATTGGCCTGGGCAATGAGAGACCTAGGTTTGGGTTCCAATCTGCCCTCTGCCTTGGACCCAGGATCTGTATTCAACATCTGCCTCTGGAACAAGGCCTCTCAGGAGGCAGTGTTTTCCTCCTCCTTTCCAGTGACCAAAGCACAGTGCAGACCTGAGGCCAGGAGAGAAGAAAAGGGCAGAGGCGGCCTCCGATAGCCTCTCCTCTTTGTCTTGGCTCTAAACATTAGGCCCAGAGCTACAGTGGCTTTTAGGGACCTCTGGACACAGGGACAGGGAGAAGATAAGTCTAGAGGAAGGGAGATGAGGAGAAAATCAGGTAGACAGATAGATGAAACCCCATCCGCCCCCCCCCCCCCCCCCCCCCCCGAGGATCCCGAGAACAGGGCATGTCCAGGGGACAGGCTGGCTTTCCCAGCTCAAGGGGCAGGCCCACAGACAGGCTGGGACAGGATGGGGTAAGGGGGCAAAAGCTAAACACCTGTGGTCGAGTCCCAGCCCCCTGGAGTGACCCAATCTTCCCTGGGGACTCTGGCTTCAGACCTGCTGTGTGACCTTGGCAAGCCACTTCCCCTTTCTGGGGCTCAGCTGTCTCACTTATCAAACGGGAATGGGATTATGAAAACACCATGTACTTCAAAGAGTTATTGATGGGGTCAAATGCCATGACGTTGACTAACAATGTGAACCCAAGCAGAGGGGGCCAGTGCTCTGGAGTCAGGCTGGCTTGAGTCCTACGCCTGCCTCAGCTGCTCTGTGATCTTAAGCAAGTGACTCTTGACCTCAGTTTCTTTGTAGCAGGGAGACAAGCCTACGACTGCCCAGGACTGGCCTCAGGGTAAATTCAAAGATGGAAAAGATGCTTGACTCAAAGCAGGGGCTCCTATCAGAAATGAGATTTGCTGCATGGAACCTGGGAATCCTTGAACCTTGGGGATGGGGAGCTCAGAGACTTCTGACCATCTCCCAGAGCTCCACTTGGCTGGGCTGAGGAGATTAGGAGTCAGGGGGCCGGCTGCTCAGGATGCCCATAGCCAAGGCCCCAGTCTCTGTCCTTGGCCCAAGCCCTGCTTGCCTCCTGTCCCCAACTCTATCTCCATCGTGGTGAGAACAGAGAGGGTTAGGCCAGAAAACTGGAAATCTGGGTTCCAAGCCTGGTTCTTCTAGGACTTGGCTGTGTGACCCTCGCTGGCCTCTGCCCTTCTCTGAGCTTCAGTGTCCTCACTTACACCCCAGTGAGGAGGGAGTATGAAACGGGGATTGCAAAGGGCCTTCTGGCACCTCCAAACTCTGCTTAGTCTGAGAAGGAAGGAGGATCCAGGTCCCAGCTAGGAAGCACAACACTCAGTTTTTCCAAGTCCCCTCCTCTCCCAAGGCAGGCCACTTGACAAGCCTGATCTGACCACAAGGGGTCTATTGTGTCAGTCTGGCCCCAAGACCCATCAACTCCAGTCCTGGACTAGGCTGGGTTTATTCATTAACCAAGCCAGAGGGAGGAGGCAGCTCCGCCCTATTGACACAAAGGGTGGGAGTACTGGACTTAGTTCAGACCTTCCCCTTCTGGAGAGCCTTAAGCTTTTCCCAGGTCACAGGAAAACAACCTTGTTCTCACAACAACCTTGCTCACCTTTCATTCAGTTTGTTCATTCCTTCTTTCCATCCTTCATTCAACCAATATCCCTGCTCTATCTGTGTTGGATGCTAGGGATGCAGAGAGGGATAGGATCTGTCCCTGCCCTCAGAGAGCACCAAGCTGGGACACACCAGCTGCCCTGTTCTTCCCTGCTCCTCAGCCTCAGACACAGGTCAGACCCCCAGGAGGCCCCTGGCCAGGGCCCTCAGGCCTGGGCAGAGTCCCAGATGAGGAGACACACAAGGAAACCTAGAGAGAAAGAGATAATCAGATAGCTAGTATACAAAGAGTCATAGGGTGGGGGGGAGGAAGAGAAGGCAGAAAGCATGAGGCAGGCAGCCTCATGGGACAGATGGACAAAGCTGTAAATGACTAAGATTTAGTAAAGCAGAAAGGCGTAGGGTCAGAGAGGGAAGGTCAGATTTCTCGGACCGTGGTATGAAGTCAAGATGCCAGAGCTAAGTCTGAGAGCAGGTCGTGGGCAGGAGTGCCCTCTGAGTCCAGTGCCCCACCCCTGCCCCCCTCCAACAAGAATACACTCCGCCACACCTCGGAGGAGGGCAGCAGAAAGAGGAAGGCAAGGGAGGTGAAGGGCACAGCCTACTGCCAAGAACCCATTTAAGGGAGAACTGCCCCACTCGAAATGAGGCACTCACAGCAATGCCAGATGTATTGGGGGCAGCTACCGAGGCCTCTAGACCATAGTCTTCACCAGCCTCTGCCCTATCTAGTCCCCAAGGGGATGCGGGCTCATGGGGTCCCAAATCTCAAACCTGCCCAATTGGGCAAAGAGGAAAGTCATGGGGCTGTGAGGAGTGGGGCTAAGGCTCTTGATGGAGCTGATGTGCCTGCATCTGCCCTGCATCTGCTGGCCTCCCTTGGCCCCCTCCTCCCATAGCCTGGCCCTGTATAAAGCAGGGACATCCAAGCCCTGCCTTCAGGATCTGCCAACCACAATCCTAAGTCCCTGCAGGTGACTCTGGAAGCAGCCAGGGAAGAAAGAGGGAAGAGCAGCACATCAGGCAAGAAGTAATCAGGTCCCTGACACCCAGGGCTGCAGAGAGTGGGGACAGAACCAGGAATTAGGGAGAGAAGGGCTCAGTCTCCTGACCGGGATGATTCAAGTCAGGGACCCAGTAAAGAATTGCTGGGGCAGAGGAGTCCCAGAAGGAGACCTCTCTCTTAGTCAGGCCTGGCAGCAGCCCACCTTCCAGGAGCAGGCAAGGGCATGCAGAAGCCTGGCTTCTGGCTGAGTGAGCCAGAGTGAGTCACACCCCCTCTCCAGGCCTCAGTTGGCCCATCTGGGTGAGGTGCACTTGTCCAGCAAACTGCCTCCTCCTGGTTCCCTGGCAGGAGACTCCTTCTGGGTCCAGGTGCACAACCAGGTGTCTGTGGCCCTGCAGAGGGGCAGAAGACTCCCTGCCAGAGGCAGCAAGGGTGCGGTGGAGGCTGCACGTGGGGCAGGGCAATCCTACCTTGATCTTGTGCAGGGTCCGATCCATCTCCATAGCCTGCACCCACACAGACACGCCGGCCTTGCTGTAGGTCAGATTCCAGCCCTCCTCGGCCTCACACTCTGACCGGAAACTGCGGAAGTCCTGGTCGTCGGGCACCTGGACACTATCGCGGCCCAAGACTGGCCGAGGCCCTTGGGGCTCCGTTGAGGCAGCAGACTTCTCCATGGGGAGGCCCAGGGCCCTGGTCCCAGTCTGGCTCCCCTGGGTCCTCCGCGGAGGCTCCGACAACGTCGACGCGGCTGCAGATGCTGACGCCACCTTCCTGGGACCTGCAGGACCGGTTTGAGGACAGGAGTCAGTGCGCTGGGGGCGCAGGTGGGGCTGTCTGGGGTCCTGGGCGGATGGAGAGTTCGAGACAGGCAGGGGCTGGCCCCCTAGAGAGCGCGGACCCGCACAGGGCAGTCTCTCGAGGGCCACCCGCAGGAGCGACCCCAGACCTCCCTGGGGCTGGAGTAGGGGCTGCGTATCGGGTGCGGGGGTTCCTCGAGAGCTCTTCGGGAACCCAGGGGAGACCAGGACCCGAGGTGACGGACGGTCCGGCGGGGCTCTGCGCGGTGCCCGCCGGACCGGCTCAACTAACTCGGCAGCGGCGCCGGCGCGGACTGCGCGCCCGGCGGGTGGTGGGGGCGGGGTGGGACGCCTGCCGTGCCGGACGCTCACCTGTGCCCTCTGCTCCGCTGGGACCCGCCAGGGCCCGGGGTGCGAGCTTCTCAGCCGCCGCCACCGCTGCTGCCGCTGCTCGGGCTACCGGGGCCGCGCGAGGGGGGTCCGGGAGGAGGAGCAGTGGGTCCCGCCGCCCGGCCCCGCCCCGTGCCCCCTCGCCCCGCGCGCCTCCTCCCTTCCACCCTCCCTCCCTCCGGGCTAGGCTTGGGGGCTCGGGGGCTCCGCTCCCCGGGGCTCGGTATTTTCCAGGCTGCGGAGGTACAGCTGACGGAGCTCGGAGCCCCGCCCCGCCCCGCCCCGCAGGGTCCTAGCGCCCGCCCCCTCCCGCCCCGGGAGGGGACGTGGCCCAGAGAGCACTAGTCCTCAAGCTGGGGTTGGGGATGGGGCTGGAAGGGGCCAAGTCAGAGTGGACTCTGAGAGAAGGGGCCCTGAGGTGCTTGAAAAGGGATTCTGGAAGTTAATTGTGAGCCCCTTCTCTCCATCCCCCTCCCATACTCACAGTTATACATCCCTGCAACAACCTACTTCCACACGGGCACTCTGTCCCCAGACATCCAGAGACACCCACACACGACACTCCAGAGACCCAAACATGGGAACACACACCCGCCACAATCAAGAGCAACTTAGAGATGCCAAAGCTTGCATCCCCCACCAACCACGAAGCACACCAAGCCTACCCACTTCTAACCCAGTTCACAGTGAGGTTCACAAACCCAGGCGGAAGTTTCTAACCCACTAGCTTCGAGGTTCATAAACTGACCCGACTTGGATAAAATCTCCCCTCCAGTCTTACTCCCAGCTGGGGGATTTAACCAGGCGCCGCTCCAGCTCCGGACTGGCAGTGGTTCACCACCATCCATCCTGAGCACCCCAGCACCTGTCCACACACCTCCCATGGACCAGACTAAGCTCTCAACAGCATCTGGCCCCAGAGTTCTGGGGCTCCCCTGCCCCTCTCAAGGCAGAGTTGGCCAGAGCTCCAAAGCCAGGCTGGGAGGTGGGGAGGAGGGACATACATCCACTCATCCACTCGCACTGCAGCCACCCTTTCCAGCCTGGGAGGCTGCCACCCACCACCTGGGTCCTAGTGCCAGCTTTGCCTCCAGTCACTTCGAGTGAACTGAGGCAATAGTTCAACTTCTCTGAGGCCAGGCCAGCATGAGTGTCACAGATGGCCCAAGGCTGAGCATTCACTCATTCCAGTGACTGGCCCTTGACCACAGAGGGGCAGGGAGAGCCTGTGGTGAGCTCACCTGGATGAACAGCTAACTTGCCCAGTGTCACATGATGAGTAGTACATAGCCATCCTGAACAGTACCCAGGTCACAGCCTCTTCCCACCCCAGAGTTCCTTTCTCTGCTCTGACTGCCCATGCTCTCTGGGCCTTAGTTTCCCATCTGTAGAATGAAGGAATAAGAATATAAAACCTCCTAGCCACACCATCCTAGATCTCTGGGATGGAATAGCTTTTCTTAAAGGTGCTAGAGAAAAAAAGAGGAGGTGTCACAGTGGGTTCACAGATAGAGGTGTTTCTTCCTATAGTGCTTAAGATGTTTGTGAATCAGACCCAATTTATAAGTGAGTGGGGCTGAGCAGGGAGCCATGATGGTGGGTGGCCTCAAGGAGCATTCTGCAAAGCAAATCCTGGAAAATGAGCTGTGGGTCCCCATGAGGTGTGATCACCTTAGATCTCCAGTACGTAGATGGCATAGTCAGATACTCACCCCCACCCCTTCTAACCCACATTCTTTAAAAGTGTAGGAGTGGTGGCAGGGGAGCTGGCTCTGGGCTCAAGATAAGGCCAGGGCTATGGCTCTCTGCTATGTACCTTCTCTGCCTCCATCCTAACTCTAGGCAGGTCACTGCCCCTCCTCTGACCTCAGTGGTTTTATCTGATGGCCATAAGCAGGTTGTGTTTTATCTCCCACAACTCAGGTTGGTGGGAGACCTAAAAAGGAGTCCACAGGGCCTACTGGGATCTACAATAAGGAAAAGAGATGGGAGCACTGACCTGGTGGATCCTGCCTTCTTAGGGCCCCAGTAAGAAGGGCTCTTCTTCTCAGCAGACAGCAGGCACAAGGGCAATAAACCTTTCACGCCTACCACCCAGTCCAGGGCAAAAGAGGTAAGACTAGGTTGACAGTATTAAGGGCAGGTTGACAGAGAAGAACAGATGGCAGAAAGCAAACCATTACTCAAATCCAAACACAGATTAGCCAAGAATGAATCTTTTGAAGGTCTTGGGTCAGAAGTAAGTGACCTGGTACCCCTGCTTGGATGGCCATGCCCTGGGCTCAACCTTGGCTCCTAGGTTCAGTCCAGGCTAGCTAGCCAAGTGGATGGGCAGAATCACTCTCCATCCTACTTATCATTAATTTGCTCTTGCAAGCCCACTTACCTCACTCCCCTGAATTTAGGTATCTCTGGCTCAGGGGTTTATGACAGCCTCTTAAACATGACCCTTAAACACCCCTGAGCAAGAGAGAAGGACTCTGTCTGCTTAAGGGTGGAACAGAGGGAGGGAGAGGAGTCTGGAGAGCAGTTCTAGGACTTGGCCACCCCCGCACAGCCTGGCAGCCCAAAGGGGCTCTGGACCTGGGTTCAAATCCAAGCTACACCCATTTCCTAGCTGTGTGACCAAGGACAGGTGACACATCCTCTCTGAGCCTGCTTCTTTATCTAAAATAAAAATACCTACTGAGAATTATTGCAATGGAAAGAGTTGTGCATGTGTCAGTTTCACCCCCAAATAATCTAAAATATAACCGGGAGGGGAGGTAGAAAGAATACACTGTCCAAAAATGGCATGTTTCCAACAAAAAGTATTATGGTAACATCTTGATATGATAGTGGTTAAGATTCTCATGAAAGATTAAACAGTGGAAGAGTTTGGCAAGGCATGACCCTACTCTGCCCTTGCAGACCCCTGCCTCAGCCATAGGCCCCTCCATCAGAGGTGGATCAAGGTATTTCTTTGGGCCCCCAGGGCAGGGCCCCAGTCTGGCTCCTGTCTGGATCCCAAGCCCCAGAATAGGGCATCACAGAGCAGGAGTCAGAGTGGGTGTGGAGGGGAGGAGCTTGTATGAGAAGAAGGTGCTTAGCAAACTGAGAGGTGTCATGGGAATGTGAGGAATCATTACCTAGGGTGCTGAGCAAGTGCTAGGTCTTACACGTGCCTCTCACAGAGAGAGCAGCGGAAGCCACGAGAGAAACAGGACACCCCTGAATCACAAAGCAAGTCAGAGCCCATATGGGAAGCTCTAGTACCTCAAGACTGTGATTCCTGGAATGGGGACAGGTCGTCTGTTGTAGTCACACCAGCCTTTGCTCACTGCCCCTGACTGCCACTGGAGCAGGGGTCAGGGTACCTGCCTGGAGACACCCATGACATGGTCTCTAACACTCTCCCTTACTGCTCTCACTGTGTTCCCATCAGAACTAAAGATCCTCAGACTAATGTCATCTGTCGCCAGCCCCTCAGTGTACAAAAGGGAAAAACAAAGGCCCAGCAAGCAGGGACAAAGCAGAGATAAGAACCTAGGTCTCCGAGGTCCTAACCCAAAGCTCTCATCCTGCTCCCCATTATATGCCACCCCTTTCACTCCCCTGGGGGTGATGTTAGCACAGTCACCAACCTCTCTCTGTCTTAAGATTGATTCAACCTCTGCCCAGGGCCCCCACCCTGCCTAGTGTCCTGGACGATGAGGGGCCACCAAGTCTTGACTTGCTCCTGGGTGCTCCCTCCTACTCACCATCTAGTCAGACAGACGGCTGCCCCGATCTCCCCTCTGGGAGATGAGAAGGCCCCACCCTGGCCCTTTCTCGCCCCACCCCCTCCTCAGAGGTAATCTGGCCTGCCCGTTTGGGTGGAGAAATTCCCAGGTTGCCTAGGGTAACAAAGCAGCACCCTAGAGGCACTGTTCTAGAAGATTGGGCAGTGATCTGTGTGATGTCACCAGGAAGCAGCAGAGTAGAGAGGTGGTTGCAGGGGCCCCTCTGGAAGGGCCCAGGATAGAGCACTCTCAGGCCTCCAGGGCTGGCTTGGCCTTGACAGGGATGTGTCCTTTACAGTCTGAGGGCAGGTGGCAATAAGCTCTGGATCTCAGTCCCATCTGGAGCCGGATCTAAGTGTTTGCCCAGGGTGGGTCTCTGCCCTTGCTGGGCCTCGCTGAGCAAACAGCCCAAACCCTGCCCTGAGGGAGCAGCTGGAGCCTGAGGGAGTCAGAGAGCCATACTGGCAGAGTCACCCACGACCTGGCTTCTCCGGGTGACACTGTCATAGCCACATAGCATCACACTGATGTCCTGTCACAGTCCCAACACAGCCACGCACCACTTCAGTCTCAGGCACAGCCGGCCTGACATAGGTACACATGCTTGGGCACACCAGGTCACCTAGAGTGCTAAAGTAGGCTTGCCAGATAAAACACAGGACGCCTGTGAAACTTCCAGATTAGCGAAGGATCACTTTTAGTATAAGTATGCCCCGAATATTTGCTAAATCTGGCAGCCTTTCACCTGCAGCACTGCCACGCCCACATCCACAAAGCCTTGGAAGTTCCGCACACTCAGCACACGCGGCAGTCCTCTGCAGACTGCAGTCCCTGGCCTGCCAGAGGCACAGTTGTTACACACACACACACACACACACACACACACACACACACACACGGCCCCTCACATTCTCTCTGTGAAGAGGCACTCGGCTAGAGTAAGAATCTTCCATCCTCATTTTGTCTGACTTTTACAACTTTAGGTGGAAGATTAGGCAGGGACCATTAGCCCCATTCAACAGATGAGGAAAACAAGGCCCAGTAAGAACCCATCCTTGGTATCCCTGCCTTGGTTCTCTGGGTGTAGGGCAGAGGGGGGAAGGGGGAAGTTGTGTTATACCTGGGCCAGGCTGTGTCCTTGGGCAGGTCCCTGGTCCTCAGGCAAGCCTCTCTAAGCAGCCTCTCCCCTCAGGAAAAGCAATAGCCCCTTCCACCATCTAAAGGGTGATAGAAAGTGCTCCCTAGAGGCCCTCTAGTCCCAGAAGGTGGAAACTGTCCTGAGTTGGGGTGCCCAACTTTGAGATTTAAAAATAAGAAGAAGCCAAAAGAATGAAGTTGTGTGTGGGCTTCCAGAAAAGGGGTACTCGTCCCAGTGCCGGATTTCTTACCCCAGTAGAAGGGCCAGACAACTTTGTCCTTCCTGAAGACACACAAGGACACCTCCACCCCCACTACTACCAGCCTGAGCACAGAGCCTCAG